AGAAGCCAGACCAAAGGGGAGAAAGGGACAGAGAGAAGCCAGACCAAAGAGGAGAAAGGGACAGAGAGAAGCCAGACCAAAGAGGAATAAGGAAGGGGTGGACAGCACAAAGTGAGAAGGTCTCACATTTAAATATTGTTTCTGGGAATGGAAAACGGGTTAAAGCAGTACTAAAAACAATAACAACAGGACAGATGGACAGCCTCCTGGGATAGACAGCTACCTGCAGTTGGGCGTCAGGTGAGTGGGAATTCTACCAATGAGTGTTAATTATCAAAACTAACAAGGGCTGGAAAGAGCACTCTGTTGTTCAAGGCTAAGACTCCAGCCAAAGCTTCAAAACAAACAAGGATAACAAAAGAGAAGTCTCAGTGGGTAAAGGCATTTACTACCAAGTCTGACAAGTTAGGTGTAATCCCAGAGGCCCGCACCATGGGTAGAGGGATAGAAAACCAGTTTTCACAAGGTGTCCTCTGATCTCTGCATGTCGGCCACGCCAAGTGTACATGCATGTATGTGTATGCATATGTGTATGGGGTGGGGCAACATTAACATGTAATTTAGCTATTAAAAAAGACAAAGCTCCTAATCAGTTTGTCTGGGTTTTAGACAACTTATCAATGAAATGAACCTGGAAGTGAAGGTGTCTCAGCACCATGTCACATGGCCTACCTTCAGCCACTGCTCAGCTTGTTCCTTGCTCTGGACGGCGAGAACCAGAGGGTCTGTGCCTTGCTGGGTGATTTTCAGCTCGTGTTTCTTCTTCTTGCTGTCTCTTGGGATGTACGTGATGCTGCAGCCCTGCAGCGGCAGCTCCATCTGAGGCTGCTGGTCCTTGGAACTTTTATAGCACTGCGTGGAACACAACAGACCCATTAATGCCTTGAGGACAGGTGACCAGAAACAATGAGAAAACCTAGCATAACCAAACCTCTAGTGCTAGCCAGGCTTCAGGGGGTGTGGCTCAGCAGCCAGCTAACAGGTGTGACACACACACACTCTGCTGCCTACCCACGCTCCTTCTACAGCTGCCACACACAGGTGTGTGTTAACTCAGCTGAGGCCTATGGAATGTCTAAGACATGACTGACCAGACACTGATCTATCTCGTGTTCTACTGGAGCATCGTCACAACATTACATGTATGTTCATATGAATATGACACACATGAAGGGATTATTAGATTTGTTGCAACTGCATAGACCTACTGTGGGCAGACGGGGTAATAATGAAGATGCTTGGAGCTGGTGAAATGGCTTGGCACTTAATGCACACAGCTCTTGCAGAGACCTTAAACTCAGTTCCTAGCATCCATACCAGTCGGCTGTAACTCTACCACCTGTAACTCATACACGACCACCTGTAACTCTAGTACTGTCTGGAGACCCTGGAAGAGGCAAAAGCACTAGATACAGGCAGACCTCGGGAAGAAAAGGCGACTTGGCCTCAGAGTCCATTCGATGGAGACAATTCTCTCAGTGCTACCCATCAGCTAGGGAACAGGTACTTCAGTGAGTGGGCAGAGTGTTTGGCGGTGACTGGGTGGGTGTAGAATTGCCTGAGCATGGAAAAAAAAGGTCTAGAGATGGAGTCAATAAAGTAGGTAGTGTGACACCCACAGGAGGCCAGGCAAGATGCTCCAGGAAAGAAAAGTATGCTTTCTCTCATCTGAGTAGTTGAACCATGTGTTATTTATGAAGGAAGATAACACACACACACACACACACACACACACAGAGAAAGAGAGAGAGAGAGAGAGAGAGAGAGAGAGAGAGAGAGAGAGCACCACCAACAACAACAATAATTATTACTACTACTATTTTAAGCCAAATGTGGTAGTACTTGCCTATAATCTCATCATTCAGGAGATGGAAGAGGAAGGATTGAGAGTTCAAGACTAGCCTGGGCTACATAGTGAATTTGAGGCTAACCTGAGCTATCTAGCAAGACATAACAAAGTCATAACAAAGCCAAAATCAAATAAAAGGCCAAGTTTCATCTTGCATTTTGTCTTGCATGGTGTTTCCCCTCGTTTTCTATTTATTCCTTCAACAATTAAACTAGTCTCTATGGAAGCTATCACCATCACAGAACAGGGAGAGGGATCTCACTGTAGAAAAAAGCAGGGGAGGAGGAAGAGGAGCAACGGGTGTGAGATCAGGAACCTGGGCCGCAAACTGCTGACTCTGCATCAGCCCTACCACTGCCTGCACTGGAAATAAACTGCTCTTTTTCATGAGAGTGGAGTGCATTTTAAATCATTGTATATAGCATATCACCATCTTGCAGCGATTGCATCAGATTATAAATAAGGGCTATGTTAATATTTTTCATGCTTTAAAATCCCTGATGGCATCATTTTTGGCATATTCTATATTTGGAAGAAATTCAGGCCACACATGTGGAAAAAATATGCACTTCGTTTAAAAAGGCTGAGCAAAAGGAGAAGGAGAAGGAGGAGGAGGAAGAAGAGGAGAAAGAGGAAGAGGAGGAGGAGGAGGAGGAGGAGGAGGAGGAGGAGAAGGAGGAGAAGGAGAAGGAGAAGGAGAAGGAGAAGGAGAAGGAGAAGGAGAAGGAGAAGGAGAAGGAGAAGGAGAAGGAGAAGGAGAAGGAGAAGAAGAAGAAGAAGAAGAAGAAGAAGAAGAAGAAGAAGAAGAAGAAGAAGAAGAAGATATAATGACCTAAGAGCCTACGCAAGTAAGACACCCATAATATAATTCACTGGGGGCATGGTCTCCCTTACAGCGTTATCTGTAGGGAAAGAGGAACTCAGATTTTCTACTTTAATGACTCACTTGTGAGCAATTGTTTCCTGAGGTTAATTTGAAAGACAAAAGGCAAAAAACTTACAGTAAAGCTCCTGACCCAGTGACCAGCCTTGGTTTCTGCAGGAAACAGGTTTAGGGGGTGGGGGTGGGAATGCAGTCCCCCAGGCTCTTCTCCTTGGAGCCCCCAAGGGAACAGTACCTGTGGCCAGAGTTCTACTTCTACACCCTGCTGCTTCTGGATGTACTCTACCTTCCTGTTCTGCCTCAAGAAACAAAAACAAACAAACAAACAAACAAACAAAAAACCCAACAACTTCTTTTTGGAAAGCTTTTGACTTTTCCAAAAGAATGTCTTTTCCCTCTGCGCTCCCAGAGGCGCCTCCACAGGCTCTGGCCTCAGCTGTGACCTGGCTGGGAGGAATTTACTGACTCACTACAAATGAGAAAGTCTATCTTGCAGCTTCTGGCAAGTCTCAACACTGCTCATTTCCACTGACACAAGCCACAGGCCCAGCAGGGTGGAAGGACTTGGGTGTGGGGGAACCATGAGCTCTCCCTGAAGAGGTGCCAGCCTGGCTGGGCTGGGCAGGGCCCCTGGCTCTCCACGAGATCCCGTCGCTTGCCTCCCCGTGGTAGCATCTGCATGTACCAGCTGTGGTCCTGTACTTCAGACTGCCAATGGCGGCAGGGCCCCGCTGGGCTCCTCACCAGCAGCTTGGTGTCTTTGATGACACAGAGCAGCTTGGTCCACTGGCCGAAGCGTTTCTTGCGCAGCAGGAAGGCGCAGATCTTGGCGTCTTTCACCAGGTCCATAGAGGCTTCCTCTGACGGCCACTGATGCCGAGTTTTCTTCCCCTTCCCATCTTCTTCCTCTTCATCATATGACTCATAGGAACTGCTCATAGCCTCAGAGTCATAATCTGTGGAGGATCAAGGGGTAGAGGTGAGAGGCTGACCTCCCAACTCACCTCACCTGGCCTCATTTCTAGCCACTGTGGGCTTCAGTGAGAAAGAGCTTCCGCCCTGGCCCTGAGGAGGAAACCTGCACAAGTCAGGCACTGAGAACTCATCAAAACGCTTCACATGCAACGACTAAAACATTGAGATTTATTTTTTAAAACCTCTAGATTCTTTCACATCAACAGGATGATGTCACCCCGATGGCCACATTAGCTGCACTCTGCCTTGGGTGGCCACTCAGGAACCTTGTCCGCGCACAGTCCTCTGCTCCTCTTTATCTGGCCTCAATTAAATGCCTCCCAAGTCTTCCTGCTGACACTGCCACCCACAGACCCTTCAGAACACGTGGAATCCACCAGAGGCCACCTCGTCCCACTGGCTCACCTTGAATCTGGTCGGGATTTGTCCCATCTCTCTGAGGGAAGCAATCTCAGTCAAGGACTCCTCAGCTTTTGTGTTACACTTTCTCCACACATAGCCTGCTCTCTCTCCCCCTGGGCTCTCTGCACACACCCCAAGCTGCCCCTATCTCCTTCCTCTCTGCTTATGACTCCCTCTGGCCAGTCCCATGGGCTCGAGATTTTCTGGTACTCGCATGCTGAGGTCTTCAGGCTAACATGACTGCATCTGGAGATGGCGCTTTGGGGTTACAATTCACATGAAATCTGTTACCAATACGGCTACGACCATAAGTGTAGAGTCTTAATCCGATGGGAGTGGTGAGAGGGATAAGGGGAAAAAAGAGGGAAGAAGGAGAGAGAGGAGGGGGTGAGGACACATCCAGAGGGCACATCTCTAAGACAGGCCATCTGTAAGATAAACCACTGGTAAGGTAAGCCCAAAACTCCAGCATTTCTCAAGAATTTCAGCATTCCAGCCTCAGGGCTGAGGGTGATTTGAGGCAGCAGCCTGAGGAGGACAATACCACACTGTGTCAAAGGCCCTTGTGATGCACTGCACACACCCTAAAAGACTCCTCATTGCACTCAGGTCAGCTCTTCACACCAAGCTGTGAGCCCAGGGAAGGGAGCACCCTGTGACTTGTGGTAGCTCTCCCAGCACCTAATGAAGTTGCAGGAACAGGGCGGATAGTCACTTGCAAATAGATCCTTCAGTGGGACAGTGGCACATTCAGGCATTGAGGTGGCTGGGAGGAGGGGTAACAGACACAGCACCTGAGGGAGTGGTAACCTGAGAGTGTGGAGCTGGGACTCTACAGAGGGTGTGAGGCCTGCCAGTCCGAGAAGTGCTGAGGACGCAGACAGGAGGGATACAGTAGAATGACAATCAGGCCAGGCTCCTGCCATCTTCAGACCAGCAGCCTTTCTCTCTCCTCTCTCCCCTCCTACACACCAACACGTGGCTGTTCCCAATGTCTGCGTCTGCCTAACACCCCCTATTTACATGGCAGCCTCAAAGAAATATTTCAACCTTCATTTTTAGAAAAGTTAAGGAACTAAGCCTTGAACTCCCCGTTTTCACCTATGGTTCAGAGGCCCCAAGGCCTATGACTGCGTGGATATCATACAGCAAGGCAAAGACAGAAGGGGAGGGCTCTGTCCCAAGGGGCGGGGGTGGGAGGGGAAGCATACCATCTAGAGAGGCTCATGCTGTCACAGACGGGACCTAGGAGCCAGAAATGCCAGACATTGAGAGAATGAGATTGTCACCTAGTCACTGGAGAAGCTGCTGGCAGCCATCCACAGGTCTAAGAAAAGTGCTATAAGCAAATGCACCCTGGGAAACCAGTTTCCAGAATATATGGCCACTTGGTGTTGGCAAGTTGTGGAAGCCAGTGAGCAGCACTGTTAGCCTGTGCTCTACTCTGCCCTAGGAGCCTGTCACAAAGACTGTACACTGACACTTACAATGTTTTAAACAACTATTTTGCAGAGGCATGTGTGCAGTGGTACACGCACGGAGACTAGAAGAAACCTGGGGGTCCACCATGTGGGTCCTGGCGATCAAATTCAGATCATCAGATTTGAGAACAAGCGCCCTACATTGACACGTTTTACACTCTTTCTAATGAGTAGGTGCTTGACAGTGGAGGAGTTTAGAACTGAGCACAGAAACCCGGGAGGCCAAGGCTTGAAGCAGCAACCTGCTGAGAGGTAACCACGCCTGTAGCATCAGTAACGAAATCTGAATCCCAGGGGCAGTTAGAGAAGGTCGGCTTCTGTGTGTCAGTGTACATCTCAGTTTAAAAGGAGGATTACTGAGGTCAGCATCAGGAGCCAGGGGATCAGTACTTCAGCAGAAATTGTTCAGTAAAGCCTGCCCTCTCCACCACAAAAGAGAAGCCTGCACCTAACAGGCATTCTGGCAGAAACCTCAACCTACAGGGCAGTGCTCTGTGGAGACCAAGAGAGAACAGGGGATGGGGGGTGGGGGGGTGGGAGGGGGAGATACACGAATGCACTACAGAACCTTTTCTCTCCGACCTCAGAGAATCACATCATCTACCACACCTGGCTCTGTGGCTCCAGGCATCCCTGAGCCAGACTCCCCAGAAGCTGGAAGAAAGGATTCTGAGGGTCTTAGCCTTTCCCCAGGCCCCTCCTGTATTCATTGCCTTCCTTAGGTCCCAGATACATTGCTCCGACATTTCTGTGGTGATGTTCAGCCCCGCCTCCTCCACACCCAGTGCCTTGGCTCACTACCATTCCTGGGAATGAAGGGACCACTCACTTGAGGTGATGTACTCTGGAGCTTTTCCAGGACTCAGCGGCACGGCTTCCTCATAGTAACCCTCTGGGAGAGAGGATGTCGGTAAAGGCGGAGGCCCACTGTCAGGAGGCTAAAGGCAAAAGGAAAACAATGCTGGATTAGAGTGGCTGCTGGAAATTCAAGGTCACCAGGACCTGCACCACATTTCCTGCTCATGTCCATCCCCCAGCCTCACCCTGGCTGGTCATAGACTACTCAGCTCCCACTGGTAGCTGTAAGGAGTCCTACCTTCACACGGAGGGGCAGGGGAGGCATCTCATCTGACTACTATTGGCATACACTGTGAGCCATCAGAAGCCTGTCCCCCAAATCCATCTGGGCTGAATTGCACCTGCCTTCTGAGCCCCTCTCCAGCAGAGACAGGGTCTGTGTGCTCCTCTTTATCCTCATAGTGTTCCCCTAATACACTCCATGGCCAAGTCCCCCCTACAGATAGCATCAAGGAAAGAAAAAGTGTGTGCCATTCCCAGGTATTCCTCTCAATACTGGGCTGGGGCTAAAGCAATGCAGGCCTACAAGCCACTCCTGGCCTGCCACTCTTTGGCAGCAGTGTCTGTTCTTAACTTAAGCCATTCCATCAGATTCTCTACAAATTCAGACCCTGCAACAACCATTAGAGGTAGAAGTCCCTTAGCCTCAGCCCAAACCAAATCCTACCAGGCTGCAAGATGCAGTTTTTCCTCAACTTTCCTGACAACTAATCCATGCCAGCCTCTTTTCTAACATCCGTGGGACATTGCTGGTCATTCCCCTTGCTGGTCATTCCCCTTGCTGGTCCTTCTGCCACTAGAAAAGGACAAAGGGAATGAGGTCTGATGCACCAGGGCCCCTGCTTCCTGCCTGGCAATGCACCATGGGAGTAGGAAGGCTAGCGGAGAGCCTCATACTATACAGAGACAGAGAGCAAGGCCCAGAGTGTAAAGCATGCTGCTCAAAATCAGACTTGTTCCTGCCATGGTTGGGTTTTCAGACATCCTGGCATCTACTAAAGACCTTTTTAAATGTTCACTCCCCCTCTGTGCATAGCTAATTCACACTATCTATGGTCTGTAAATAACCAGGAAGTGACAGGATAGAAGTGACAAGCTCCATCCTGCCCGAACACTGCTCCACTGACATCATGGGCTTTGCTTTTATTCTTATGCAAACCCTCCAGAATGTGACTCCATCATTTTCCCTAACTCTAAGTCCAGAAAGTCCTTTGTGAGTGACTAATGGCCACTGTACACCCATCCTGCTTCCTCCTCCTGCAGCTGGAGAGAGGCTCGATTCCCACTTCAGCTAGCTGAGTGCTATTACCCAACCGTCCAGTCCTGTTCCCTGCAGAAAACAGCTTCCATTCCCTCCTATCCCTGCCTTGTTCCCTGGTGGTCACCATCTACCTACATGTTAAAGGACCAGCTTTGTAGGCAGCCAGCACTCACTGGAGGGGATGTACTCCTGAGCTATCCCAGGGCCCATGCTGGCTCATCCAAGGCCTTTCTGTCCTCTTCAGAGGACTGTCCTAAGAAGAGACTTGATGTGCTATGTTTGGCACCGGGTAAAGCTAAACATTCAGTCTGGAATCAGAGGCTGCTTGGAGAAGCCATTTGATTCACTGAGTGCTTAACAGTGGAAGAGAAAGCAGGGAATCTACCTTCCTCGGAGTGTTGGGAAACTGACTGCTCACACCTTTGACTGGAGCTAAGTCCCTGTAAGTATCCAGGTCAGGCCTCCCTCCAGGGAGTTGTGAATAGGGAAGAGGGGAAAAGGCTAGTGTGTACTGAGGGGTTTGTGAACAGACACAGTCAAGCCACCAAGGAAATAGCCTGCAGTGAGAGACACCTTAGACCTCAGGATTTCATCTCTAAAAACACAACAGAAAGGTCCTTGGGGCCAATGAGAGAAAACAAGCTCAAGAAAGCAAATGTTCTGGAAAAATATAAACAACCATCAGAAGAATAATTCTGGCCAATAAAACCACCCAGCAGGTAAAGGGGCCTGGAAGGCATCTTGGTCTGCTTTCTATTGTGTGATAAACACCATGGCCAAAAGTAACTTTGGGAAGTGGCTTATTACATCTGACAGCCTACAGTTTACCATGAAGAAAAGGCAGGGCAGGAGCCTGAGGGCAGCAGCTGACTCAGAGGCCCTGAAGGAAGGCTGCTTAGTGCCTTGCTCCACACAGCTTGCTCAGCCTGCTTTATACTTCCCAGGCCCTCGTACCCAGGAGTGGCACCTGGGAAGGCTGGGACCTTCCATTTCAGTCATTAATCAAGGAGGCTTGCCTACAAGCTGATCTTCTCAACTGAGGTGCCGCCTTCCCAGGTGACCACAGCTGTGTCAAGTTTACAACAAAATCAACTACAAAACCCTAACCAGGCCGCTGTGCAAGTCAGACAACCTGAGTATGATCCCCAGAACCCCAGAGGAGAGACTTTGTCTTTTGATTTCCCCATACATGCTGAGGCATGTCTGCTACACTCACACACAAAAATAATAATAAATAGAAATTAATAGGTTTTGTTTTTAAAAAAAAAAAAAAAAGAATGCTCAGATGTGCCACCACACACAGCAGCGCAGCCTGGAGCCACTGACTTGAAAAACCCCAGTCAGCACCGCTAAGTGAAAGAACACTGTGGCCCCACTCCTTTCTAGATTTCTTGAGTATCTCTGCTAAAGATGGCTGCTCACCAAAAGTGTTAACACAAAGTTGCCTTTCTTACCTGTATCTGCATAGATTACATTTTTAATACTTACCACTTTTTAAAAAAAAATATTTCATTTTTGACAGTGTGTGGGCATGTCCTGTGACACATGCATACCTGTGTGTGTCATACATGTCCGTGCCTGCAGAGAGAACAGGACATGGACCTGAGCTAGAGTTACAGGTGGATGAGCCCCTCTGTAGCACCATTGTGACGTTGAGCAGAGAAGGGCTGTCGGAGTGGGGAGGGAGACTAGAGTCCTTATCACCACATCCAGACTTCTTGCTTCCTAAGGAGATGCACACCTCCACACCCCCATCTTACCCAATGCCATTACACCCAAACACTCTCCCCACAGTTGGAGCTCTGCCCCCTCACCATCCCCCTGCCTATGGCATAACCTCAGATATCACAGAGGTCTTTGTATAGGAAACACTAGAGAAGCCCCCAAACTAACTGTAGCTGAGAAACCACGTTCTGACTCCAATTCTACACATCCAGGGATGCATCCATATTGCTTTCCTGGCTCCAGAAAATCAACCTATTTAGAGTTAACAGACAACAATTAGACCCTCTGAAATAAGAAAATCAGGGTTCTGGTGAGATCTGCCCTACACCAGCCACAGGGATGCTAGGCAGCACAGAGCACACACGACAAAGTCTGAGCTTTCCTGGCCAAGGGGATTAGAATTTGGGAGGCTTTTTCCCCATGGGCTATAAAACTGAAGATAGATAGATAGATAGATAGATAGATAGATAGATAGATAGATAGATAGATGTTTTCATCCTAACACTAAGAATTTCAATCTTGGCATAGAGTCCTTAGACAGAGCTCACTGTTCCACCCACTCTCTGATCTGCATGCAACAGTGACTACCCAGCAAGACCCAGCACGCACTGTCTTTGCTTTCTCAGCCTTAACCTATGACAGTGAAGAAGCAGAGCCATCAGAAGACAGCACCAGAGTAGAGAAGCAGAGGAGACTGCAGGAGTGGAGTCCAGGTGCATGCCTAAAATTCCACAGGGTGAATGCAAGAGAAAGATGCCACCAGACCACATCGAAGCGGCATGATGAGATTCTGGAGAAAGACAGGAGATGAAGAGGAATGTGGGGTCACGTGTCTATGCAGAGACTTAGTAGCTCCGGGCCTGACCCTATGGCTTCCAATGTCTAACTTTAATACATCACCACAAAGCATTCTCTAATCCCATCTGTCAGACAACAAAACAAAACAACAAAAAAGGTGTCACGGGGATTCAGCAACCAACTGAGCACGTAAGAATGGCTAAGAAAGTGGGGTGTGGTGACAACACCAGGCAGGGGAAGGTAGATCTCTGTGAGTCAGGTTATAAGCTATCAAAACCCACACTCAGTGAAACATTTCCCTTAGCAAGGATGCCTCGCCACCCCCCCCAAACTTTCTCAAACAGCACCACCAACTGGGGGCAGAGTGTTCAAATACCAGAGCTGTGGTGGTTTGTATAGGAATGGCCCTATAGGCCCATAGATCAGAATGCTTGGTCATTAAGGAGTGGCACTAGGAGGTGTGACCTAGTGGAGTGGGTGTGGGTCAAGCCAGGCCTAGTAGCTCTCACTCTCTTCTGCCAATCCAGATTTAGAACTCATAGCTACCTCTCCAGCACCATGACTGCCTATGTGCCACCATGCTTCCCGTCAGGACAAAACCAGACTAAACCTCTGAACTGTAAACCAGCCCCAATTAAATGTTTCCCTTTCTAAGAGTTGTTATGGTCATGGTGTCTCTTCATAGCAGTAAAACATTAACCAAGACACCAGCATATAGGGGACATTCTCATCCAAATCACAGAACCCATGCTGAGCAGTGGTGTTGTGAGGACAGAAGCAGAAAGAGATCATCACAGGAACTGGCTTCAGAGCTGAGGCAGGCATCAGTCAACACCACACACATGGGGAATCCATTTCCAGTGGAGCACCCACTAGTCCAAACTGCTCAGCTCTTTGCAAACCAAGTACAACTAGCCCAAGAGCTGTCCTGAAAGCATAGCTCTTCACAGAACTGGTTCGATTTCACCTATGCCTGCTTTGGTCCATAGCTCCCCTGAGAGCGACATCATGAGTACCAACCACGCTGCACATCCTGGTGCTCACAGGGCTTCCCATGCCCCCAAGCTCACTTCACAACCCCCAATCCCTCGGGAGCATTAGCACTAGCTGATGAAGCACGCTCATCGTGCACAAGGCTCACCCTTGTGCACCCTGGGCGGCAGGCGTGTTCACTTGGGAGCAATTTGAGAACAGTCAGACATTCCCTTGGTTTCTGAGAGCAGCATCTATGTTACAGAGCTGACCCTTGGCCAACATTAGTGAGCAATGTAAAAGAACAAAAGAAAGAAGCTGGGTGTGGTGGCAGCACATACTTTTAATACCAGCACTGGGGAGGCAGAGGCAGGCAGATTTCTGTGAGTTTGAAGCCAGCCTGGTCTATATTGTGAGCCTGTCTGAAAAAGAAGGAAGGAAGGAAGGAAGGAAGGAAGGAAGGAAGGAAGGAAGGAAGGAAGGAAGGAAGGAAGGAAACATAAGCCATCTTTGAATGTTTTAATTTTAATTTACTTGACAAATGACAAGAGATAGTAACTTCAGAAAGCTGGTGTATCAGGACAACTCAACCATAAGGAATGTACAGATAATTCTTATTTAAACAATCTTAAGTAGTAATGAATTTCACTTCTGTAGCTGGGGTAAAATATCCTGATAAAAAACAACATAGAGAAGAAAGGGTTTTCATTTGGCTTCAACTCAATTCCAGTTCATCACTGGGGGGAGTCAAGACTGCCTGCCTGCTCCTTCTTTAGCCCCAGCATGATCTGCACACACAGATTCTTAGTCAAAATATCACTCCACTGGCCCCTGGCCCAATTCCTGATCAAGCCCTTGCTTGTCTCCGAAATACAGCTGGAATCTCCACTGTCCTAATTCTCCCGCCTTCTAAGCCCTGGCTGAACGGCCCAGTAAGCAATGAGCATCCAATGGCTTTCCAGCAGAAAATTCCAAAGTCTTCAGATTCTTCCCGAAAAGCAACATGGTCATTTTATTGCAGCAACAAGTATTTATAGCAACAGACAGAAGGCGGTATTCGATGCTACAAGCCACAAAAAGACAAAAACCAGAGCACAATATCAGTTTGCAAACATGGGAAATAATTGTAGCTGGTGTAAGTCACAGACGCTGTGCTGTGATCTTTGTTCTTTTTTTTTCCCATCAGTGAGCAGGACACAGAAGCCAGAGAAACCCTTCCCCCACTAAATCGACCATTGTGTTTATTACCACAACAGAAAGCAAACTAGGACAGACGCCATGTTTTCTCAGGATAAGCTCACAGTTCTCACCCGTCAGCCTGTCCAGGACTACAGCCTCCTCTGGGCATTACCTACTCAAATCCTAGGATCTACCACTCACATGGTTCTGGGTACATCTGGCTCACTCTTGGGTTTGTGCCTTCATTTGGGGGCCCCTCTGCCCAGTGTGGTCTCCTTCCCAGGCCATCCTTACAAGAAGCAAATTCACCACAAAGTCAGCCTTCAAAATCAATGGTGCCAGCCCAAAAGCCCGAATTTACTGACTGACTAGCTCACTTGATAAACTCATTCTTCACTAAAAACCCCAGGAAAGACAGGCATGATGAAGTACAACTGTGATCTCAAAACTGGGAGGTAGAGGCAGGGGGGGTACAAATTCCAGTCTAGCCTGGCATATACAACTAATTCCAAGTCAGCCTAGACTACACACAGAGAGACCTGTCTCCTTACTACCCTCAAAAAGCCCTCATAAAAAGGAAGAAGGAAGGAAGGAAGGAAGGAAGGAAGGGAGGAAGGAAGGAAGGAGGAAACATAAGCCAACTTCGAATGCTTTAATTTTAATTTACTTGATAATCTTAAGAAGTAATGAGTAACATATAGTAAGTAGTCGAGTGCCTTGGCCAATTGCTTAACTGCCATAGTTGCCACAGATATTTTCCAGTTCCTCTGCAAAATGACCAGACTGGTGGCCACACAATGTTATATGCTCATGGCCAGCAGGCTCTTCTCTAAGTATTGACCAACTAACTTGTCACAGGGTAAACTAGACCAGAAGGAAAGTCCACAGAAATGAAAATGGTACAAAGTGCTGACCCTTCAGTGAGGATTCTTATTCTGAAAACAGACATCCAAAGGGCTCCTCTGTCCCTCTAGGTGGCCCTGAAGGATGTGTACTCCAGGAAAGTCCAGCTGGAGGCTGTGCAGGAGACGCCATGTAACCCCTACCACCTCCACCATTCTCCTGCCTGCTTCTAGGTATACATTCCTCTCCCTCAATTCTGAGATACTCCCAAGACACAACATGTTGACAATGGAATAGAAGGTACCAAAACAATCTTAACAATCTTTATGGCTGGTCTGCCACAAAATGCCATGGGTTCAAGACTAGTCTAGAGCAAACCATTTAAATCCATTAATTTCCATCCAGTTCATATTTTGCAAAAACAATTTACCAGTAGAAAGTACTCATGTTGTTGAATGAAATACTTTTGGAATATGATTTCATGTAACTAAAAATAGCAAATGATATAATAATAATTAATAATAATATAGCGAAAAGTTTCTATAACAGGAAAGGAAAATAAACCAATGTTTAAAAATAAGCTTATGGCCTTGGCAAGATGGATCCACAGATGAAGACAACACCCTCAAGCCTGATGACCCGAATGAGATCCCACATGGAATGAGAAAACTGACTCCTCCTACAAAGAGTCCTCTGACCTCCACACCCTCCTCATGGCACATGGAAGTGCTGGAGCCCGACTAGGGGACAAGCTCAAGCCTGACAGGGAACCAGCTGCAGGCTGGCCATGCCAGAAAACAATTCCTGCCTTCCCTGCTTATCAATAACCCCCAGGAAGTCACACATCCTCACAACCTTCTTCCAAAAATTGACAGCCACACTCTTCACATGCCCTAGAGTAGAGATCCTCAACCTTCTAACATTGCGACCCTTTAATTAATACACTTCCTCATTTTGTGGTGACCCCAACCATAAAATTATTTTGCTACTTCATTACCATAATTTGGTACTACCATGAATTGTAATATAACTGGATTTTCTGATGGTCATAGATGACCCCCCATGAAAGGTTCGTTTGACTCCCCCCGCCCCAGGGGCGTTGACCCATAGGTTGAGAACCACTGCTATAAAGCGTTGAACAGTTTTTAAAAGCCATGCCATGAGGATTACATAAAATAACAGCTGTCCCCCCATCTGTGGTTAACACATTCTACAGTCTTAGTTGTCTCTAATCAATCAAAAGCATGATGTGGAAAGTTCTATAAATAACCACCAAGTTTGAAATCCCTTTCACTACAGCACACTGTTACAATTACAGCTTTATTAGTGGTATTCATTCTTGCCATTAACATCTCACGCTGCCCAATCACAGACTGAGCCTTTCAATGTCCGTCCCAACAGAAGAAAGGAAAGCTGGAGAAAGGCAGAGTACTGTGCAAGAGGCACCATGGACAAGAGGCCACAGCATGACGGACAGACAGGGCTGTGGAGACAGATGAGGCATAACTCTGCCTCTTCCACTTCAGACCCCAACCTGACAAAGCGGATCAGGAGAGCAGCCGAGTGACTACTTTGCCCACATCTGAATGAATCCAGTTCTCCCGATCGAGCAAGCTGCAGAATATAAAGCTACAGGAAGAGCTGGTGGGAGACAGCAAGGCATACGAGGGCATCTCCAGTTTAAAAACTATACCAGAAAGAGGCCCCTGAACCCATCTGAAATACATCAACTCAACTGAAACGAACATTTCTGTAGTGTGCACATTTTTTTCTCTCTTGAGAAAAAAAAATTTACCCTGGAACACAGCAATGGATGTCAGAGGTCACACAGAAAGCGGGTAGAATCCTCAGGCTCCTTGGACAAGATTCTGACTGCCGACTCCTCCTTACCTGTCCTAACAGATTTCCAAGAACCTGTGTTTCCAGGATCTGCAGAGAAACAGGAGCTCCTTCTGTTATTAGCAGCTTCGGGACCCTAGGAACACACTCCAAGGAGCATCTTGGGCACAGAGAAGCCTCTCACCACTGACTTCTATCACAGGCCTGACAGGCACAAGAGAAGCCCAAGCCTCCCGTGGTAGGTGGATGTCAACTCACCAGCCATGGCTGAGGGATCTCTGGCAGAGGCATCTGTGGTGGTGCTGGCAGGTTGTTGGCTTCTGCCTTCTGAGCATGGTCCTTCACTTCAAAGCCTATAGGGATTAAGCAAAACCAGAGATCTGGGGGAGGAGGAGGAGACCAGGAGTAGCCTTTTCTGAACCCTCTGGAGAATGATGCAAATATTTATCCTCTCTGATCTTTTACAACAATCCTGCAAACGGGTGGTGGGGGTGTCATGGTTCTCCGCTTAACTGTGAAAGGTCTACCTGAGACCAGACCAGACAGCAAGGAGAGAGAGGGAGGAGACTGAAGGAAGAATTCATGGAGGGGATAGTGTCAGAGGATATACTGGAAGAGAACAAATGAATACAGTTTAGAAATAGGTGGGTTAAAGAGGATTTGGAAGCCTAGGAATCTGGACCAAGGATGCCCTGCAGCCTGTGAGACTCACCCTTGGATGACTGCAGTCGAAGCAGGATGTTGGTAAGCACTGCCTTTTTCTCTCTGACAGTTGATGTGAGGTACTCATGGTCAAGGAGCTCCAGAAAGAGGCGGAGTTCAACTATTAACTCTTCCATTGCTGGAAAGAAAGGAGAGAGGAGAGGGGGGGTCGTCAGGTTGAGGGTTTGCAGATGACATAATAGGAGTGTGAGCATAACTTCAGTGGTTCATGTTCAGTCCGATCACGGGATGAAGTATTCTACATTTTAACACAGGAAGCAAGAATGCTAAGCCAGGGTCATTGCAGACTAGTGATCTTCCTAACACACTCACGGCTCCTTCATCCTTACTCCGAGGCAGCAAAGCTCAACAAGAAGAGTCGGAGCCAAAGCCAACAGACAGAGTGGCTCCAAAGTAGATATCACCCCACATCAGTGGGTGATGCTGAAACTCAGTGTCCAGAAAGAGATCAGAGATTAGAACATCAGTCTTCAAATAACCACCAGCACACAGATTCCAAAGCTCATCCCCTACCTGCTCTTCTGAGCTCCATCCATCACCAGGATGACAGAGATACTGTCCACACCGCAGTAAGAATACTAGGTGTCAGGGCAGCCAAGATTCCAGTTCAGGTGGTGACCTCCCTCATGTCTTTCCCGCTCAAATGATGGCAGACATTGACATTTTGCATGAGACCGGAATGCAGGGTTGTATCAACAACTCTTAACTGATGATGTGAGCCACAGGGCAGTCTGAAACCCTTTGCAGTGTTGGCAGGTCCACAATAGTTTCCCAACAGTCAGACCCTCTCTTCCCGCTGCTGTGATGATGCGGCAAATAAATACAAGGGCGAAACGGCATGCACGAACACATCCAGCCCTGGCACCCAGGCTCAAGCACTGGCACAAAAGATTCAAGTACTAGCACCTAGTCTCAAGCACAGGCACAAAGCTTCAAGTACTGGCAGCTAGCCTTAAGCACTGGCACCAAGCTTCAGGTACTGGCACCTAGCCTCAAGCACTGGCACCTAACTTCATTAGAGGCATGGTGTTCTCCACAGCTGAGAGCCACTCCTCCTGAAGAGTGCCCTTGACACATCCCTGACATTACTCAGGGAGTAAAAACTACTACTTTTATCAAGTCTCAACCCTTAAGACTGGCCCTTTCCTCTGCTGTAGCTCTCGAAGCCCTTCTGCAGATAGCAGCATGCTGGTCTGGAGAAGGAGCCACACAGCCTGGAGCCACTTGTGCCACCTGACTTGAATGAACAAGTACAGCTACAACCATTCATTCATGCTCTCTCTTTCCTCCTCAGCCACCAGCCAGAGCCTCCTGTTTGCTGGACACGGCACAGAGCTACACCCCAAAGAACTCAGAAACAAACTAATTACATTCATCACTTCTAAGGAAACAGCTGAAAGGGGTTTTTTGTTTTTTGGTTTTTTTTTTTAAATGATCTTTTGGAAGTCCCATTAAGTATTTTGGAGTCTGTGTCAGTCAGTGTGAGCCCGAGAGCCCCCGACACTATACTTCCCAACAAGGTCAAGAGTGACTCTGAGAAACATCAGTTGGGGGTACTGCAAATGCCACCTAGACACAGTGAAAGATCCATACAGCTCTGGTACTACACAGCAAGTGTGAGCAACAGACCCATCTAAGATGCCAAAGGATCTGACATCATCTGTCTCCTGTGTGCCAGAGCCAGACATCATCAGAAACAGCAGTATTGCTTACAGTGCAAACAAAGTGGTCACCATTTTTCTGCAGAGGCCACTAAAACCCCATCCTTCCTGGCTACCTATCCAAGTGAGGGTACTTCCACCCTAAAGATGCTTTCCCCTCAGTCTGAACATAGACAAGAATCCAGCTGTCTTCCTGATGCCAAACATGCCAGCAAAAGTATCCAGCAATGTCTCTTTCTACTTGTCTTGTTTTGGTAAATGAAGATATTTTCATAAACTATCTAATACATATTAATATGTAATGTTGACTGTTGTTTCCTAAGTTAACAAATATCTTTAGACTGCTAGCTCTGGACCAGTGACATGGCCCAGTGGGTAAAGCCTCATCAACTGGTGAGAACAGCCTTGTTCTTTGCTTGCCTCCGGAAACCTAAAACACAGTTCACACAGAAAGCACTGGAATGTCACTGCAGGAATGACATAGGACATTAATTGACAGGTCTTATAGGAAAGGCAAACTGTGCCTACCCAACCATGTCACTGTGAGGGCAGTTGGCATCTTGCTCAGCTCACAGTAAGTACTTGGTTTATCTGTGTTATCTCTAAAACACCAGGGCATAGGGGACATAGTACTTTACAGGGACAACAGTCAGGGCTCATGATGAAGGGAGACTGGGCTGGAATAGCTAGGGGGCACGAGTGAAGCAAGAGTCCCACTGTGACCTGGAGATGCCACCTGCGCATGGCAGTGGGAAGGGAGAGTAATTTAAATGACTCCTAGGCAAACACTGAGAAGACTCCTCTCAGAACACAGATGCTAAACACCTGCACACCTGCAGGCCACAAGGCCTGCCGTGCTCACTGGGAGGGGCAATGGTCTGGAGGGACAGGGGAATGGGAATGCCCATGCTTGCTGGAGCCACCCTACTTCCACCTGAGGCAGACACTGCTTCACCTTCTAGAAGCAGTTACAGAGGTCCTGGGCAAAGCCACTGACAGAAATCAAACCCTAACCAGGAGTCACAGCGGGCAGGCTGGGGAGGGACCCTTCCAATTCTCCTCTCATACACTGAATTCTGCTCTCCATGGAGGAGGCATCAACTCCTCTGAGACAGCATTCAAAGAACCCCTCCGCAGCAACACAGAAGGGCTAGCCTAGCATCACAGTCTAATCCTTCAAGACTAACCTTCCAGCTGAGCTCAGCTCCAGTCCTAGCTTGCTTGCTTTCCTGCTGCTGTGATAAACACCATGATCATAAGCAACTCGAGGAGGAAAGGGTTTATTTCATCTTCTGCCTTCCAGCCCATCACCAAGGGAAGCCAAGGAGAGAACTGATGACCAAGGAGGAACCCTGCTTACCCACTCGCTCTCTTTGGCTTACCCAGCTAATCTTTCTTATACAGCCTGGGTTCACCTGCCTAGGGATGGCACCTCCCACCCACGGTGGACTGGGCCCTCTCCTCCCACCTCAATTAGCAAGTAAGGAAAAGCCCCGTAGACATGGGCAAGGGCCAATCTGATCTGGGCAACTAATTCTTCAGTTGAGGTTGTTTTCCTTCAAGGATTAAAAGTGTGGCTCAAGGCCGCAGTTCGCTCTCCCTGAGGGACTCTGGTCCAAGGACTGCACACACACTAATGGCCTCCTAATACCTGAGCATTTTTTCATGCTCTTTTCTCATTGGTTCTTCATGATCTTATCATCTCCAAAACAGGTGACAGAAATGAGATAGGAACTGCAGGTGCCCGGCCTGTGGCAGCAGGCTGAGGAGGAAATCTCTGCGCAGGGAGCCCCTCCCTTGTCAGCCCTGACATCCAGCACCCCATGCTGGATGGAATGTCAATCACTAAACACAGACTGCGGCCAAGGACAAGAATTGCTAATAACCTCCTCACAAAAAATTCCCCCAAATACCCTCATTCCATCCTACTGACACTGTACCAAGAGGAAGTCTGTTCCCCCACCCCCACCCCCCGCAGGAGTCAGTCTGCAGTCAGGAACCACAGTGTTCATCTCTCTGCAGCAATGTCTAGCACAGTGTCAACAGGCACCTGCTCTGTGTGGTCAACCAATTCACTAGGGAGTTTCTGGTTTCCTTAACAGGCAGGATCCTTGAGATGAGTCTTAAAAAGAAAATTCCAGAAATATTTAAAAAAAAATGCTGTCCCTGAATAGTAACTGCATCTTCTGTGACATCTTTAGAATGGAAGAAAAGTGAGGCAGAAGGCCAGCTCCTACAGGGCCCCTTGGGCAGCTACCACACCAGGCAGGGCCTTGTTTGCTGGAGCTCACTCTTGGGCACATACTGAAGGGACTCAGCACTCCAGCAGCAAGGAAGTGAAGCAGCCACCACCCCAGTGCGGCCATGCATATTTTCCCTTATAGGGTTACAGTTCAGACTCCTCCAGCAGATTCTTCCAAACACTTCCCCTGGCCTCAGCAGATAATCTAAGGAGGCGGCTTAAAGGTTGGTCTCTGAGTTCCCAGAAGTAGCAGCTGAGGTTTGAGGCTGCTGCATTGTTAAGTTTCCCTCAGCAAGAAAGCATCTGATGGTCTTAATAACTGAGCCGGTCATCATCTGGGAGGCTGGGTGACTGTAGACATGATTATTTAACCTGTGCTGTCTGAATCTGAAGTCAGCTGCCCCGCTGGCAGCTGGGAAGACCCAGAGGCTGTAAATAGGATTCTCAGCCCAGATACTAGTGGGAGCCTAACCTGAATTTCTTCTTAGCAAGCTCCTGTATCAACACAAACAGTGACAATTTGCTGGGTTTCTGGAAGATGCTGCAAGAATCTTGGAAATATCCATCCATGCCAGGAAGAAAAGTCTTTAAGAGCATGGGAATGGTTCTGAGCATCATCTTTGCCGACTGAGTTAGAGGCAGGTTAGGAGGAGTTCCCAAGGATAGGTTTGAAAATTCCCAGAACCCATCCTTTCCAGAACCTGTGATGACCCTTGAAGTTAGATTCATTCAAGGGAGTCCCGAGAGAAAACATCCTTCCAAGAGAAACCCTTGGTTTGTAGGAAGCTAAGGCAGGCAGGATCTGGGTGTGAGTTTTGCTGTCTGAGCGCGAGTCATCGACAGCATCACAGGGCAGGGGCTCCCGGTTCACATGTAGAGCCCACGGAAAGGAAGTTCTCAGGTCACTCAGAAGAGTTCAGATGTGACACAGGGAGCACTATATCCCCACCCCACCTACATCAGTCCAGTTTAATTCACCTCAATTTAATTAGCCAGTTGTTGGGCACTAAGTTCACAAGGATGTATTCAAAACTTAAAGAGAAGTAAGATCCAATCCTAGACATTCTTGCTCCCACACTCCAGAGCCATGCACAACACAGGGGACCAGAGCACCAGGAACAGGTGTGGCAAACGATTTTTGGTCTTGTCTTTGTCTTTTAAGAAAAAGTGGTCTTGACTTCTCTCCATTTTGAAAAGATAATTCCAGAATGAGCA